TTCAAATACAACATTTTTATAAATAGAGTAGTAGATTTTTCATTATTTTCTTTTTATTTATGTGTTCAGAGAGCACATTCATACTCTTTTCATTATTAAAAAAAATCATTTATAATTACGAGATATCTACCCATTTTGTCAATTTTAATTAACAGAAATAAAAAATAATAGACAAACTTTATATCTATAATAATTTTCTGTATATCGCCGTGATGCAAAGCGTTATTTTTAAATGATAACTAATAAAGTTATATTAATTATAAAAGTATAAATTAATAATACAGTTATTTTTTTATTATTTTAGATGCCCAGAAAACACTTGAAGAAGTCCGAAAGTTGATTCTAACATACATGTTTATGCTTTTTTTAGTTATATGTGATTGAATTGTTCTATAATGTTTTATATAATACAAAAAAAGTTAATTTAGACTATTTTAGTGTATTTTTGAACTTGTCACTGCCGATTCCAAACACTGTCACAAACGCCCGTGGGGTGGGATCGGTAGTTATAATATCTACTACTCCCCCCCTCCCCCCTCTAATCTGCTCCTATGAGATTGTACGTACGGACATAATTTTAGAATTTATACGTAGTCAAGTGTACATTTTACGATAAAAACACCTTTCTTCTATATAATTGGTATACTAACAAAATTCAGGACGATAAAATGAAAATGATCACAACCGTATACAGTCTCTCCTACTGAGGGTGTAAACAGAATGATATTTTTCTTCTGTCATGATCTTTATAACTTCAGCAGTTTATGTTAAATTATATACATAAAGTTTAAACATGAACAATGTCTCATGTGTTTTCTAAAACGTCGAAGCTTGGGTTGACGATTTTTCTCTCTAAGCACCATTATTATATTCGTAGCAAAACCAACTTTTTTAAACTTTTTATCCTTCAAGGTTTAGTTTTTTAATATAGGAAGAAGTGTGGGTAATTAAGTTTGTGTTACTAGGATATTAAAAATGAACTGTTTAAAAATTATATTGCGTAATTGTTAAGTAACAAAAGAACTAAATTACATAAAATTGATTTTAGGTATTCGTATTAGAAATGAATCGGTCATGTTAGGTATTTTTTTGTGTACCATGACAGAATCTTCAATGTATATAAACTGCTGAACGCATTTACTTGATATATCCTCAACTTAAAAACAAGTTTTTTAATCATGAGCTTAGCTCTTTGAAATTTCTTGAAAGTGAGCATGCTTTTTGTTTATTATTAGTTTTATATATATATATATATATATATATATATATATATATATATATATATATATATATATATATATATATATATAATTTTCTTAATTTATTCGATTAGAGTATCGATGGTCAATTAAAAAACAAAAGAGGATCCCATTATTTATGTCAAAAACAAGGATCGAAACGTTTTTGAATAAATGGAATAAACAGAAGTTGTTTTAAGTCATCTAAGTGTATTTCATGACCCATTATCCGACTATAATTTCTCCCGTCTCACTAGATCTCGTACCTCCGACCTCTATCCACCTCCCCACCGAACTGCAGCGTTTGACAAATCCTTTATAATTCAAGCCGTTTCCTCATTTAAATCTCTCCTTTTTAACCACCTACTCCTTTCCCAAGCCGATTGATCATGAAATGTAGATAAGAGAACTTGTAAAGTTCTCTTATCTACATTTGAATCCAGAAATTATTTTCTTTACTTATACTACTTGCCACGTTTGTATTATACATATCAGTATGTTTTTAGGGTAATAGCTATTTTTTGTTTTATTCTTTTTCCAAAATCTTAATCTTAATAAGAATTGTAAATAATTAATTTTATGTATGGCCACATAGGCATTTATTCAGTAACTGTAATTAACTGTAAACTAATAGGACAACAGTCCCAGGATAATAAAAAAAAATTTTTTTTCATTTCATAATTCATATCTTAAGTTTACATATTACATATGTTTTATGGTACCATTCAGGGATGCCCAGAAGGGGGTTTTATGGTGAAAGTTGCGCCATCAAAATTAATGAGGGGTTGAAGGGGTTTTCAACTTTTGAGGGGGGCACATTTCGGCGGGATTATGGTTTTTCAAAATGAAATGTTTCAAATCAAAAGACAAGTGGAATCATGGAACAGACCATAGGATCTGTAATTGTTTATAATCTACGAATATTCAAATTCTACTCTCGTTTGCACTGTTTTTAAGAAGAAGAGAGGAATAATATATCTTGGGAAGGGTGGGGGAAGGTTTATGCCCCACTTATGCCTTGGTCATAAATGGTCACCCCTGGTACCAGTAATATTTTAGCACTGACAGTTGCAACAAGTAGAAAATGCTCGATGCAACCATATTTTTTGTTCAGGGTGGAAGTATCTTCAGAAACAAAAGAATCAATTTATTAAAAATAAATAAAAACAATGTACTCTTTATTTTGTGAAGAATAAACTTAGCGTTTCTATAAATAATTTCTATTACATATAAAAATACTTATATTAAAATTATTAAAGTGATTTGAATTGACTTCAAGAACGAATATCTATTTGATTTAAATAAATACAGAATATTATTATTGAATATGTAGTCTTCAATATTTTTTAAATTCTTAGAAACAGTATCAATATGTACACCTTATAATAATCAGTAAAAAAAAAATCTGTGGTGTATTCAATTTATTATTATTCTTGTCTTTTATCTAGCGTTTTCTTTGGTCATATATCTTTGGGTTATAACCAGCTATGTACTGGGTGTCGCGTTTAGTGGTTAAATCTTTTCAGTAAGTATGTAGATAAGTTTATCTAAGCGCGCTCTTAAAGTTTTGTCAGTCTCTTAAGGGAAGGTTCTTGGCCAAGACCAACAATTTTCCATTAAATTCAACGTTGAGACTAAGGCTGAAAAGGGAAATACTCTTCAATTAATCAATTAAATAACTCTCATTTAATTAATTAATTAAAAAATCGATAAGCGTGTTGTCTCTAAATTAATATTTACGAGGCTAGGTCATTAAATAACGATATTGATGGTGTAAAACATTTTATTTTGATTTAAAACAGATTTACTTATCATCATCTTCAATATCTATACCCCTCTATCCTAACAAAGTTCGATGGGAATCTTCCATTGTCGAAAAACGCGCTGGATGCCATCTTCCTCGAGCTACTTTAGGATGCGCGCCGCTTCCTCTTTCACTGCTTTAACTGACGAAAATATTGTTCCATTTAATGCAGATTATAGAATAGTGTTTTTTTACTTATGTTCCTGAAACAAAGAGTCATTCAACGCATTTCAATTTCACGGAGACCAAAAATGGTGGAATGAGTATATCAAAATTCAAAGGCGTTCTTGTTGAAAGAGAAAACCTGATGGATCTTACAGAAGAAGACTTTGAGCCCTGTTTCAGACAATAAAAGATTTGCATGGAGCATTGTAAGGATAGTTTGCTGGAGGTGTATAATGAAGGTAATAATAAGTAAATATCTATGAAATCATAATAAACAGTTTTATAGCATCAATCTCGTTATTTAATAGTCACACCTCTTACATTGAATCTTCAAAAATCTATTTCTTTGAGAAAACGTGTCCAATGAATCTAAGTAATGTTAACTATTATCATATTAATATACATATACTGATTTACATAAATTCCTAAAATCTTATGAGTAATGGGTAATGTATACCGATAAATATATCGAACAATGGATAAATTAAAATGAGAAACCATCTACTTCTGCATTCAAAGTAGATGTTTCAGGATTTTTGCAGTATTAATCAAACGTCTTTGAAAGACATTGGAGTGATTAGCTTTGGAGTTTTGAATTTGATTCATTTCAATACAGATTTTGAGGATACTATACGCTTAACAGCTTCGTATTTCACATTTACAAACTTTGTAACAAGTTTTAGCTTCTTATTACTAAATTGGAGTACTGCAAATTTATTGCAATATTGGTGTTTATGAGTCAAATTAAAAAAAAAAAAGTAGGTTAATATTTATATAATTTCATTTATTTATTTTTTAGTCCAAAAAAAAAAAAGTCGACCATACTCTGAAAATCGTTCTTTCCTTTCTTATCAATTTAAGATTGAATTTGGTGATCGGACTCAACCTTGCAGATGTATATCGTATATACAATATATCCATATATCCATTTAATGCAAAAAGTTATACGTTGGACAGCTATTTTTGACAAATGTCAGTCGTATTGTCCTGATATTAATATTCTCTATACTCTGTCGGGTATAAGCTACACTTTAAATTTTTATTTTTTATGATGATTCGAATTTTAAAAAGAACTTTTACTTTCCAAGGTGATTGTTATTGTGTTTTCTTGACAAAATAGCTGTTGAAACTGTTTAAACTTTTTTTATCATCTTTTCTGTACATTTAAATAACAAATACTACCATTACTAAATTGAACAAATTTGAGTTTGATGTTAGTCTGTATAAAATTAAAAAAAAAAAAAACTAAGTTACTACATTTATGAATTAATACAATAAATTCTTACATTTTTTTTTTTTTTTTTTTTTTTTTTGTGGTTCTCAACACAATACAAAACATACAAATCTGCTTTACATAAATCTTGTTATTCACAAGTTTAAATATGATGCAACTTAACATTTTAAAGTTCCCTTTATGACAAATCAACTTTTAAATACCTGAACAACCATAAAATGTTTTATTCCCCAATAATGTTGGCATAGATATAAAACATAGCTACATATGTATTTTATTGAAATGCTTTTAAACAATGACCCTGTTTAGGTTTCAAATAAAATTAAAAAAAACATCATTAATCGTAATAGTAATAAATTGTTTGAAATGGATTTTCTTTGAATTATCTATATGAGAAAATGTTACATAAGAAAATATAGTGTATTATAAAACCATAATAAATGGTACAATTAAACATACTATTGTATTCTGATTTACATAGAAGAATAATATCATTTTAAACTTAATTATTTATTAAATTTATTACTTTTTTGAAAAATAATTCGTTTTTTTTTTTTTTTTTTTAATACTTCGTACTTTTCTTAATTTTAACATTGTGTCCAGGGAACAAGAATTGAATTGTTTATAAAATAAATCATGTATATATAATCAGGTTCACATATTTTTGTTTCATGAATCGATGCATTGTTTTGCCTGTGTAACGTTTCTTTGTGAGATTTAATTCACAAATACGATGGCCTTCTAATACAGCAGAACGTTCCAAAACGTTTGTACAATGAACTCCTTCTTCTCTTCTTTGTCCACCTGTTGCCCCCTTCTTCGTTTGTAAGAGCAGAAGGTCTCTCTAAAACAAAATATCATTAATTAATTATTACTTAAACAAAGAGAGTACAAAAAAAAACATTTTTTTTTTATCTAAAAAATAACACAAATCAAGAATAAAAAGTTTTGAAAAACATTTCCGTTGAGGTATCTATTACTTATGAAAATCATTCATTGCACTCTGGCTGTTTTAATACATAAAAGATAATTTAAAATCGGGTTTAAACTGACCAATTCGAGAAAAATGAAAAATGACAGATCATATAGTAAAAAATATAGTGCGCGCAACACACAACTTTCACTTACTGCTCAACTTTGAATAGAAATTTTTTTATAAAATTATAAAATTTTTAACTGAGCTAATGTTAAAAATTACAGATAACAAATAATAAATACCATTTAAATAACAAAAGTCCTATTTATTATATCACCGGTCCATTATGGATTGTACGATCCCTTGATTATGGATTGCACGATCCATTGATTATATATCCGGTTGAACGAATGAACAGAGGAAGAAGGAGTAAAGAAGATAAGAAGTTTTTTTGGTTGTAAAGTTTCGGAAATGGAGTATACCCAGGAAATATTGACGTCGGAAAACTGGATAGAGCAACTTCAACTCGGAATAGCAACTGGAGACGAGGGAGCACCTGGGGCCTCCAAGTATAAATCTAATGAAACAATTCATCAGATTCTTTAATCTGATCTCAAGTCCACCAGACAGTCCACCGTATACAAGGCAGCCATAATCGAAGTGAGGGAAAATGAGAGAGCTGCGGATTTTAAGGAGCATAGAGTCACGGAATCTCAGGAACTGTTGGAGGGTAGCAATGGACATTCGTATAATTTGGAAAATGTGATTATTCCAGGTCAGATGTTGATCAAACATTACCCCAAGGTTTCTTACAGAAGTGTGAAAACGTATGGGTATCCCATTGAGGTAGATGTTCCATTGATCTTCTCAACATTCAATTTTAAATCATTGTTCGCTGCCCAGGTATTAATACTGTGTATATCTTCTTGAAGCCTTCGGATCGCCTCAAGCATCTCGGTAGGATGGAAGGAAAGGTAGATTTGGAGATCGTCCGCATATAAATGGTGTTGTGAGTGATGAATGGAATCAGGAAGGTCATTAATATAGACGGAGAAAATAGTTGGGGAGAGGGAAGATCCCTGAGGAACACCACGAGTGTGATTTGCCTGAGAGTGAACTTAGGAGTCGGGATATTATAGGAAATCTTGGTGAGATCATGATGTGAAAGGAAGGAAACAGAGTGCTGAGCGGAGGATAATAAGTTTTGAGGGGAATCGATTAGAAAAAGGTCGAGCCATGTGCTTGAGAACTGGGTATGGTGAGTAGGAATGACGAATAGGACAAGAGAATGGATTAGATCTATAAGGTATGATTTGTCTGGGGAGTCGGAGAACAGATTGGTATTAAAGTCGTCGGCTATTATTACATTGTTGTATAAAGGAAAGTAGATAAAAAGGAGAGATCCAAAGGCAGGATCAAATTGGACATGGGGAGGGCGATAAGTAAAGGAGGGAAAAGGAATTTGAGGAAATTTCTACAAATATATAATCTAAGTGAGGAAAGTCGGGAGATGGAGATATGTGCAGGATTTATGCCCTCAGACTCTCATGAACATAAAGGCCAACACCACCACCTGTTCTATCTATTTGATCATGTCGGATGAGGACATGATTAGGAATGGATATGGAGGAAGAAGAAATATTAGTTTTGAGCCAGATCTCCGATACGGCAATAATATGATAAAAATTATGAAGAAAATAATCTTGGAATTCATCAAAGTGAGGGGAAAGGAATTGGGAGTTAACATGGCACGTTAATAGGATATTAGTCATTTAAGGATAGAGAAGGATATACATCTTTGGAAGTTTGAAAAGGAAAGGGACAAATTAGTGAATTGGAGTTTCCACTATGTAAAATGCTGTAAATTAGTAGTAAAATTAGATAAACGATGGTGAGATGTAATAAAACGATACGCTGTGCTTAGATATTTCACAAGCTATGGGAAACACAAACATATGACGTCATTAGCGCTAAGCCCAACTTTTTTTCTTTATTTCTCTTGTTACCAACAGCAGATGGAAAACTTCAAAAACACTAGCATAGGGGAAAAAACGGTGCCCCGTTGTATTAAATATCCCAGGTACCATTAAACGCCTGTTCAACGTTGACAAAGGCTCCTGTGCAGCAATCCAGTGCAGAGTTAACTATGTCTACCACACGATGACATTGCTTAATAGTGGAGTGAGATATGCGGAATAAAATTTGGTGATTTGGATGGGATTCAGGCGTTATAACATGAGTTTTTTCAGGATTTTGCCCATGATGGGTAAAAGAGAGATAGAACGGTAAGAGGATGGCTATTCAAGCGGCTTTATGGGTTTATGTTTCATTTTGACAATGGATAGTTTCCAATACGGTGGTTTAGTAATACAGATTTGTCATTTGGAGTCACTTTTTGATTGGTTGCCCATCTTGGATCGTTCTACCTGATTGCTTTATAGCCACCTCAAAATTGTTAAATTTTCTTATTTTCTTAGAAATATTTTAGTTTATAAGTTTAATTTTGTTGCTTTGGGATATATTTAGTTTATTAATAGGTAGTTTTTATTGAATATTTATAAGTTTTATTGTTCAAAGTGATAGATTTAGTTTCATATTCCATGATAAGTTTCATCTTCACAGACTCTTATTTTGTTAGTGATATTTTATTTAAAAGTTTAATTGTGTTGTTTTAGTAATAAATTTAGATTATTAATAGATAGTTTTTATTTAATAGTATACATATTAGTGTTTAAAGTAATAAGTTTGTTTCATCTTCATAGACTTAAAATCGTGTGTATACTTGTAATTCTTTACTTTATTTTATTAATTTTCCTTTTTAACTCAGTGAGAAAAAAAATGAAAATCAAATATGAAAATTGCTTTTCTGAAGATAGTGTCTATAGAGTTGAGGCTATAGTAAACACAATTTTTATCTCGAAGTAGTAGTAAAATTTGAAATTTGGTATTCCTCTATAGATATTGTTACTTTCCTCATTAAAAGTAACTAAAAGTTGTTTTCGTTTATGCCAGAATAAGTGATATAAAACTCATCTTGATTGATTTTTAAGCACTGCAACAGTTTTGAAATGAAATATTATTTTCCTTAGTTTTTCTTATAATTGAAATTCTAAAACTGTTAATGTTTATTCTAGATGGTTCAACTATGATTTAAGGATCATCAACTACACTCATATTTTTCATATTGAAAGTAACAATAACTATAAAAGAAAACCAAATTTCAATTTTATACTTGAAACCATTGACTTCAAAATAAAAATTGTAGTAGCTAATAGTCTCAAATTATAGAAATTATCTTCTATAACAAAGATTCAAACTTAATTTTCATATTTTTCTTTCATAACCACTGAATTACAAAGGAAAATTAATAAAATAAAGTAAAAATTTAAAGGAGTAAGTCATTTTCAAACCTATATGAGCCAAATCAACTAAGTAAGAGGTGATTTCAGAGGATTTTTCATAGAAAAAAAATAATTCTGTTGATGCAGAACACATAATTAATTGTCGCAATATTAAGGATAGTATTCTTAAGAGATTTATTGTATTTAGACCTAAAATAAATTCAATTAGTAAAAAGAATTTCCTTCATTTGTCTGTTTTTAGCAGTAACTCTGTAAATGTATATGTGCAGCATTTATACATTTAATGTTCTTTGTAAATAAATTAATATTGTCTGTTTTATCTCTTTTTTTTATGTTCCTTTGTTGATTAAAAACGTTTTATTTTTCAAGTTAAATTGGGATGTTCTTCAATAAATTGATAATTGATTGTATTTTATCCTTACACTTTGGTATTTCACTAATAGTTTTTTTTCTTGGTATATCCTGTGTGATAAAATTAAAAATATATTATAGCCAACAAATTCTAATTTCCCAAAAAAGTGATGAAAACAAATATAAAACAAGGGAAAGCTTAGATTCTGGATTAATGGAAAATTAAGGTGTGATGAACATTATTGCAATTTATCATGTTATGATTCTTTATCCACTTCATTGATAACAGCTATGCTGATATTGACTGGTAAATAGAAATTTTCAAATTATACAAAAACTAATTTATACCACTCTGAAACAAATACTCTCCTACCACCTCTAACAGGCTTAAAAGTAAAATGAACAATTTTTTTCTACTTCAGATGCAATATACAATGTCTACATTAAGGTAAGAGGTAAACCATTTAATAAAACATATTTTATTAAAAAATATTTTATCAATGATCAGAAATGATTCTATTAATTGAGGTTCAAATTTTGAACTATTTAAATTTGTAATAATAGTGGATTTATAATAGTAAGTGTTGCCCAAAATCGATCTTAATCATAAACTTTGCAAAACCAAGACTGATAAAAAAAAAAAATCCTTTTTGTGAATAAAAATTAAGGTAAAATAATCACTAAAACTTGACAATTTCAGTTACCATATGTAAAGAATTGATCCTTTGGAATTTAACTCTCAATTTTTCATTTGGGCTTAGTTAGGTTTCCCATATCTGAAAAATTACAGTAATATCTCTATAATAATAAGCTGATAGGTAACTGCAAGACTGTTGTGAGATTTGCACAAGATCACGACCAAGACTCGTTTTGGTCTCCCATTTGGGCATCACTAGTTGGGGTGTTCAGTCACAAGTAACAAAGTAAAAATAAATAACCCATATTTATTAAATTTACATTAAATAATGTATATTTATTAAATTTATATTAAATAATTTATATTTATTAAATTGACATTAAATAGTTTATATTTTTTAAATAATTTAGTTTTATTAAATTGACATTAAATAATTTATAATTATCAAATTTACATTTATTTAAAGTTTTTTTTTTTAAAAAGAATATTAAGAATAATAATAAAAATATATTCATGGTTGCTGTCTTAGAATTGAGTTTTTGATTTTCAAATGAAAGTTAATTTTCACTCAGTTTTTGTTTAATGTTTTAATGATTATATAAATTTATTTGTGAAATTTATCAATGAGAGAGTTAGATGAATAAAATTGAAATCTAAATATCCTGAAGTTTATCGGAATATATTTTAAAAGAAGTTATATAGAAAAAAAACAAACAAATATTGTTCTTTGATTTTATTATTTATTTTCGCGTGATATAAGTGATTCATATGCTTCATTTAGCTTGTCCAACTTCAATTATATCTTCCAAACCATTCTAGTTAATAGTTTGTTGCAATAACTACTTTTTAAATTCAAATAACAAAGAGAGACTATTCAAATATTAGTTTCCTACCGATCCAATATGGCGGCCATATCGGTATGACCGCACTGTATTATTCAGCCACTGTAGTTTCCAAGGGTTAGGAAAAATGTGGTTGGAGTGTAGCATTATATATATAGGTGAGGAAATATGGCTTTCTTAGGAAGCAGTTTTAGGATCTGGGGTGTGATTAGGGCATCGCCTTGAGTTTTACGGGAAGGTAATCTGTGAATGATTTTGGATATTTCTGAAGATGAAATGTTTTAGGTGGAAATATCAATTGGAGTAGGATTCAAATTCTGCTTCAATACACTCAAAGTGGGTTGGATTTAGGATATCTGGGTGTGTATTAAATGTTTCGAAGAGATGCTGAGCAAATATTTGTATAATATGAAATATACGTTTCAGTAATAAGTGGATAGTTAGAATATTTGAATTTCAGAAGTTTTTTAGTGGACAACCACAGTGATTTGTCAGCAGTAGTAGTAAGGTTTTATGTTAAGTTTAGTAAATTTTTAATTTTGTATTTTTTAATTTCAGCTTTTAGTTGGTCAGTTAACTTGTTGTAATGTGTCTTATCTGATGGATATATAGTCCTATGCCACTTTGATCTTGCTCTGCATTTTTCCCTTAATAAAATACAAATGTGCTGTGGCAAGTTAGTCTGTTGGGAGTTATTTCTTTTATTGGTAGAAGTATTATCGTTTATTTTGTCACTGATAGGTGTAGTAAGTAATTCTATGGCTGTGTCAATGCCATATTTCGTCTTAAGTGGAATATTTAGGTCCAATTCATTTTCCGAGTCTTTACGAAATTTGTCCCAGTTTACTCGTCCAGTAATCAGTGTAGGAGGGGAAGAGAGCTTAGGAGCGAAGGTTGATTTTAATGAAAGCAGAACAGGAGTATGACCTGAGGTGAGGTCAGCTAGGGATATGATTGTGACATGGGAAGAGGAAATGTGAGAGGTGACAAGTATGTCTAGGATATCAGTACGTTTTTGAAGGAAGTTAGCCAATAGATAGAACTCGAAGTCGTGTATGTTGGAGCGTCATCGTATCTAGCGATGCCTGTTCGAATCCGGCCTGGGAGGGGTTCACTTTTATTTCGGGGCAGTCCCACGGAATAAAAACTTGACCGTCCCACTCTATTTAGAATAGGTTTGGTTGTACCTCTAGAATAACCCTCCTCCTCCCCGCATGCCAAAAATGTTGGGTAGAGGGATATACAATAAAAAAATAAAAATAGGTACAGCTTATAGGAAAGATGATAGAATAACTATTGGAATTTGATACAGAAGATAGTATGTTACCATGTGAGTTGGATGCTTGACAAACACATCGTTCGAGTTTAGTACTGTAGTCTCCTCCAGCAATCAAGCGCGATCCGAATGATTGGAATAATGATTCAAGTAGATCGCAGGTAAGAATATGACTAGCATGACAGTATAGAGCTAAAAGTGTTAAATAGAAAGGACGAGTTGAAATGATTACCGAGATTGCTTGAATAGCCTCAATTGGAGTAGAATGAATAAGGAGTTATGGATAAGGATGCAAGAACTGGCATGGGAAATGTTGGCAGGGTGGTCTGATCTACAAGTGATACAGTCGCGTATGTAGAAATATGAACGTTGAGTGAAATGAGTTGCTATCAGAAGAGTAATATCAATGTGGTTGTGATGAAGAAAAATGTCAAGTTCGTCTCGGTGTTTATTTAGTCCATTAGCTCTTCAAAAAAGGACAGCTAATGGCTTTGTACTGATCATGGGAGATTAAAGGGAATTTAGATATGTATTCTTGTGAGGAGGGTGGTTAGTGGCTTGAATGTCTCTTGAAAATCTTTCATTAAGGAGGCAATGGGGGAGTTAATTAAATCAATCGGCTTTTGTGGGTCAGGTGGATTTATATCAGGAGTTTGAGGGACAGCTCTTATGATAAGGAATGAATGATGGATGATGTTCCCGTCGTGATGTACGATGGGCTGAATCATAATTACATGGAATTTGGGAAGAAAAGTTTATGTAAGTAGTAGGATGGGAATGAACTGGAGTTGGATGGTAATTTGACACGTAGAAGTAACTGATAAGAAGGAATTTGCTTAATTAAAGATTTTGAATGAATGTGGTAGGTGTGAGTCTTGAGGGTTGGGAGGTCTGGGGCTAAGGTTTGGAAGCCTGAGGTGTCTGCTGATTCTTCAATATGGTGTCAAAATATAATTGTGTGGAGTCCTGATGGGGATGATCTGTTGATGTAGAAGGCTATTGTGTAAATCGTTTTGCTGTTTCTTTCAGCGATTCAGGGAACGTGGCTAAATTTTGAAGTTCAGGTGCCTCTGCCTGAGTAAGATACATCTGTTCTTGGGTTTTTAATGATATGTTATAAAGTTCTTTGATTATAGAACGTCTTGTAGACAATGCAGCCACTGTAGCTTGCAGGGTGGTCCTCATTACAAAGGACACATTTTTCAGGTTTATCCAACGGTTTCTGGAAGTGTCAGAGGCGTGAGGAGCGCCACATTTGACACATCTCGCCGCGTGATGGCGGTAGGCCTTTGTATTCCCTAAGTCTTGACGCAATGGACGACAATAGGTTTCTGCTCCTGCTCTTCAAATTTTACAGTAGAATACATCTGTCTTTTAACTTTCAGAATTATTCCGGGCTGATTCTAGATCGATGGAAAATAATGGAAGTGGGTATTTGTTAATTGGATTTAAAACAGAAGATATATGCCTTGTATTGTGACCGATATCTTCAAGATCTATTTTTATAGCAGTAGTGGGAATGATTGAGTGAAGACCTCTCAAAACCACCCAATATGTTTTTTCTTCTTTTAATGGATAGCAGTAAAAATCACAATGGTGTGCTGTCAAGTGATTAATAAGTTTTTTATAATCATCTTTGGTGTTGGTGTTAGTCTTTATGCCATTGATACGAAAAAAACACCGGAAGATGGTCTGCCCAATCAGATTACCTATTTCTTGACCAAACTGCATGAAGTTGTCAATTTTGCTTACATTTATCGGCGACGGAATGGAAAATATAAATATATTACATTTTTGCACACTATAGCGACTTTAGATTCACTTACAAGATAGGAGATACCACTAAACAAGAAAAAGATCCACAATAAGCTCACATTGTCCATACCATCAGTGTATCAGAAACCCAAGGGAGTGATATATCAGACTATACCATAACTGGCAAAAAAGAAATAGCCGTTGTCACAATATTAGTTAGTTTAAGACGGCAATCCTCTCATTTTCCATGTATGGACCAAAATATTGGACTGCCTTGATAAGAATATCAACACTTATTATTGCTGAAATGTGATTTTCATTATTAGCAGTTGGAAATAAATAAATATTTAGAGATGTGAATGGTTCTTTCCACAAAGATTAGGATTTATGAGCTTCAACTAAAATGGATTCGGCACAAATGTAGAATACCTGAGGAAGAAAATGTTAAATGGTACATTGAAATAAGTCTCGAAGGAAGAAGACCCAATGGCAGCCAACCACTAATCACATTACGGAAACATATTGAGAAAATGGGCAGAGATTGTGAAAAGACATTGCATTAGATGTAAGCAAACTTGACGCTGAAAGGCACTTTTGAGCTAGTGATAAAAGAAAAAGGCATTGGTAGTGGTAGAGGTAGCAACTCTGTTCTAACCAGAGTAGAAGTGCAAAGATTTATTTCGTGGGATTATCACGATATAAATATTGTGTGATCCAGGTGAGAATCGAACTGGGGCAAACTTCTTCCATCGCGACTTCAATATAAGGTGTGAATAAAGCTAATTTAGAGGCGACTTTATAATTGATCAATAATAAAATTAAAACGCTACATTAGGTGACGAATTACATAAGTATAATTTTATAAATAATTTAAAAAATAAAATACTATCTAAAATTCTAAAGAAAAATTTGATAATTACCGGATGAAATATCTTGAGTTGGAAGAAATTCCTGCATTTCATTAAGTAGGCGAGTCAATTCAGCTGAATCTTTGGCGATGCTACATACTTCTTCTTGATTGAAGTCAGGTGCGATGGTTTTACAGAGCAAAATTTGGCTTATCACATTTCCGAGGTTGGATGGGCCTGCTCGATTCTCTAGATTTGTTTAAACAATATTTTACTCAGTTTAACCAAATATTTTACTCAGTTTAACCAAATATTTTAAAGTTCTATTAATGATTATAGTGGAAATGATAATATTACCAAAGTATCCAGTCATGTCCATTGGTATTAATTGCACAAGTCGACTGCATTTTCCCAGCTCTCTCAGAAATAATTGGCACATATAGAAGACAAGAACGAGGTGTGGATGATCAACGGGAATCCCTTCAGCTACAGCACTGAAAAAAATATACAAACAAGTTGGCTTAAGAATGTTTTTTTTTTCATGGACCTCAACTCATACATGTCATAAAAATAATAGGCACTTAACACTTTATATCGAACTCCCAAAAGAAGTTTGAGTTATATATTCTACCTTCTTGGAAGACGTTTTCTGACAAGGATCTGTTGAAGATTTATTTATCTCTTTGCAAACTTAGCAAGAGGAAGTTATCTCACTGAAGATGAGATGGATTCAACTATCACATAATCCTATATACAATTTCGTCATCAGTGAATTCAATATTCTTTGATAAATAACAGTTCTCAGACTCACTCAAATGTTCGAGATAAAGTATCAGATAATTACAGAATATAATATCATTTTTTTTTATGTTTTTATATTATTTATTGGGTTGTCATGAAAAAAATGTAGGATTTTATCTATTTTTTTTATATCAACCCTTTGTATTACGAATTGTTTACGTCGAAGGGATTATTCCTTTGTTTGGGTGTCAACCCTTATTATTTCTTTCGAAATAAAAATGTTTTTTTTTATTTTCTGTAGCATTTCACTAGTTGAAAATAAGTCAGTGTTAATTTGGTTTTACGAGGTTTGTTAAACCCGGTCGGAACGGGTCCCAAAAGCAACGTCTGGGGGCGATGTAGTAAGAATGAGTGCACCATGCAACGATGGTTTGAAATATATCGAGACGAAGACATCAGCCTTGATGCCAAAGCTGGTCGTCGAAAGACTTATTTTCTTGATAGAATAGAATAGAATAGAAAATAATTTTATTCTGGGACGAAGTTCCTTAGAATAACAAAAAAGTACAAAATTAAAGTATTAAATCTGGCCTAAATAAAAACAAACATAAAAAGTAAAAATAATGAAAACAAAGTAAAGAAAATATTAAACATACTAGGTACAAAATAAAAAAAAATCTATATACAAAACACTTGAAACCATGCCAAGACACTTAAAACTATGTACAGTGGTAAAATATAAGTATATACTTTTAAAAAAAATAAATAAAAAATACATTACATTCTTTTTAGCAATAAACTCTGTGTTTCTGCATAAAAAAAAAAGAAAAGAAGATGAATCTGATAGTAAGTATTTAAGTGATGAATTATATGTAAATATATCATTATATGAATCATTTTGAATAATATGTAAATTTACATAGACGGTTAGCGGGGGGTGTCTGACTGTTTTTGGGATAGAAATTGGAGTAGGAGGGTTTTAAATGTAGATAGGGAGGAAGATTTTGAGGCCATTTTGATAGGAAGAGAATTCCAGAAATTAACAGAGCAAGCAATAAACGAGTTATGGAATGAGGCAGATCTGTGAGAAGGAATGTAAAGGTCGGAAGGTCGAGATCTTGTGAAAAGGGAGTGGACTGAGGACTTGAATTATAGAAGGTTGTAGGCATAAGAAGGACGATGATTGTTGATGATTTGATAGAGGAACATACCTAGAAAATATTGTTTTCGAATGGGGGGGAAGAGCCACTTTAACTCAGTGTAGTGGTGAGACACTTGGTAGTATCTCGGGGCACCAATTACAAATCTTACGCAGCTGTTCATAAGTCTTTTCAGTTTATCACGGAGCTCCACCGAGAGTCCATCATACACCACACAGCTGTAGTCAAAGTGGGTGAAGATGAGAGAGGAAACCAGGAGTCGATGACCAGAACAATTATTTGAGCACTTGCAGAGAAACTCTCGGTTAGCAAATTGACCATTCCTGACCACCTCAACGCAGTTGGAATGGTAAAACGCTTGAATCTTGGATTCCGCATGCATTAAAAGACCGCCAAAAAAATCTTTGTTTAGAATTTTGCTCTACAGTTTGCTGCAGAAACTGAAACCAACCTCACCCGCCCTACTCTCCAGACCTTTTGCCTACCGATTACCATTTATTAATTATTTGAGGAACTCCTGAAAAGGTAAAAACTTAACTGATCAAAATTGGCAAAACTTAACACGTTGGCAGAAACGTATCGACAGTACTGGGGTGTATTTTATTTAATAAAAATAATTTTTTTTAACCATAAACCTGCAATTATTTTCGGACAACCCAAAGAATACCGCTTCTAGGGTAACTTTAATTGTTTATCACTCCATACCTTTTCACTGAAAAGAGACTTGAATTGCAGTGTAAGTGGAAATGTAGAGAGTGATGAGGCACCAGGAACAAAACCCGATAATTCATAACAGGTCGGGAGAAGAGCACTCCATGGCCTCTCTTCCTATTATTTGCGAGAGGACGTCAACAGATGCAAATGTCTTTTCTAGAGAGTGGGGTCGATATGTGTTCTGTTGGCGCAACCTAAGCACCTCATAACGACACTCAATCGTAAAATCCAATTTTAAGGTCTTTCGCTACAAACCCGCTAAAATGAAAACGCTTCATTTCCACTTTTTTCAAAATTAAATTATCATCAATAGAATCAGACGCCTACCTTTTTTTTTTATCGCAAATATGTTAGTAGTATGTACTGTCTTCCTTTTGCTTGGCCTCCGTAAATCGTTATTCATTATTTTTTACAATTTTATTTTGCTACAGGTGCATTTATTGGAAGAAGTAGTCATTGATGAGTTTCATTGCCAAGTTCTTTCTTTTTTTTTTTATCTATTTATTGAATAATAATACAATCAGCCACTGGAGGGCTATAAGTATTAGGGCTAAGAGTTCTCATTCAAACAATATATACAAATAATAGAGAAATAAATATAAATATAAAAAGTAAATAAATAATACTGATGAAGAAAGAAAATAAAAGAAAAAAAAAATAAACAATAACATAAAAAGAAACTTATAAACACAATCATACCTATATACAATATATACATTCGCCCAAGAATCTCCGAGCCAGGCTTTTTCCCCCACATGTGGAAGGCAAAGCAAGACTCCAGGAGATTCCAGTGCCACTTTTCCAGCCGCATCACTAGTATTAGAAGCCAATGGAGACTGAAAGAGGGCACTAGAGCCACAGACGCTCGGGACATGAGTGGAGAAGCTGGCCATTGCCAGGACTCCAGAAGCATATTTACAAGAGATCTCTGGGCCACTGCCGTTTTAACCTTCGTGGAGGATTGTAGGGATGAAGGGAGCTGGATAGGGATTGAGCTAGAGGATTTGGATGATGGATAAGGTTTTGGTGAAAGTTTGAGAATCTGGTTGGGATGATGTCGAGGACAAATGGGATGTTAAGGTCATGGTGTAGGGTCTTGTTTGTGACATAATATGGGGCATTGACTATTGTTCTAAGTACTTTGGACTGGAAGGATTGGATGCGTTTGATATTCGAATGTTTAGCAGTTCCCCACAGTTCAAGTCCGTAGGTCCAGATAGGTTTCAGTATGGTCTTGTAGATTAAAAGTTTATTTTCAATCGAAAGATGGGATGTCCTACTTAGTAATCTATACAGCTGGCCATATCGTCGGTTAAGTTCTTGTCTTTTAAGTCTGGTATGTGGGTTCCAAGTTAGTCTTTTGTCAAGAAGGAAGCCAAGGTAACGGACTGTGTCTGAGTAGGGAAGTGGAATTGAATTAAAAAGGATTGACGGACAGGATCTGCGTCGCAGGGTAAAAGTGATATGTTTGCATTTTGATTCATTGATTTTGATGCGCCAGTTGTTGCACCACTGCTCAATCAAAGAGAGGTGAGATTGTAGGTTTAGAGATGCTATTTGAGGATCTGAGTGGGAAGATAGAATGGCAGTATCATCAGCAAATGTAGCTAGAAATGTATCGGGATTGGAAGGGATATCGGAAGTGAAGAGGATATAGAGAACTGGGCCCAAGACACTGCCTTGTGGAACACCAGCCTCAACTGGATAGTAAGTGGAGAATGCGGTGTCACAACGGACTTGAAAGGAACGATTTGAGAGGTAGGATTTGAGGACTAGGTATAAGGATTGGGGTAAATGGGTTTTGAGCTTGAAAAGCAAGCCATCGTGCCACACCCGGTCGAAAGCTTGTGCTACGTCCAGAAAGGCACCAGTGCAATAATGCTTGTTTTCAAGTGCAGAGGATATATGGTCCACAACACGAAGGCCTTGTTGGACAGTGGAATGTCTTGAGCGGAATCCAAACTGATGAGAAGGGATGTTGTGGGATTCGATTATGGGTAGGATGCGTTTGAGAAGGATTTTCTCAAAGATTTTTGAGAGGATCGGGAGTAAGCTTATCGGTCTATAGGATGATGTGTTATTAACAGGTTTACCTGGTTTTGGAAACAGGATGATTATGGAATGTTTCCACACCAAAGGAAAGTTGGTTGTGCGAAGGATGCAGTTGTATAGATAGGTAAGGAATATGATTGCTTTTTTGGGAAGTTGTCTGAGGATTTGTGAAGTGAGGAGATCATATCCAGGGGATTTTCGGGGTTTTAATTTGTTTATAAGGAATTTGACCTCAGAGGGGTTAACAGGTTTTGGAGGTAGAGAGAGAGGAATTGGTGAAGAGAGGAATTCTTCAACTTCAGCAGTGTGGCTGGGATGGAGTTCGGGATGAGGGGTGAATGTGTAGGATAAATGTTTAGCAAACTCCTCTGCTCTATTCGCATCTGACGAAGCCCAGGAACCATCATCACGGCGAAGTGGATGGGAAATGGACTGGAATTTAAGGATTTTTTTGGTTACGTTCCAGAGGGAGTTATCACTAGCGGATAATGAGGAGAGGTAGGAATTGTAGGATTGGGTTTTAAAAGTTTCCAGTTTCTAAGTTCTTTCTAAGATGGTTTTTTTTTCGAAACCTATGTTTTCGTTCACTAGCGGATCCAGGATTTATTTTTGGGGGGGACTTCAGCCCGAAAGCTTTTTTTTTCATAAAAAATGACCATAATTACTTTGGAAAACAAGAAAGAAACTAACTATCTATATGAAATGATGTTTAAGTGATGCCTTGAGTCCTTTTAAATGTAATTACACGAACAATAATACTTTAAGAAATAATTTTTTAATATTTTTTTCCATAAAACATGGTTATATTTTCCCATTTTGGGAGGGGA